ACTGGCAAGATGGTATAAGTGAAGAGAAGAGCCTTCTTTCATGCCTTTAAATCTTTGAGTGTTTGTTCCATGCCAGTGTGATCTACATTGTGGGCACATCTCTTGGTCCTGAGCTGACATAGGAAAAAAACTAAATTAGAACAAATTTTAATCAACTTGAAAAAAATTACCAGATTATGGTCAAATCTTTCAAAGGCTTGGTAATTATGATTTTCTGACACTGAAGATAAAACACAAGTGTTCTTTATTGAGACTTAACAAAAAGGCTAAAGCTACTGCTGATCTTTGGTAGCTTGAGTCTGTCCTGGAGCTTGAGTCCTGAGGCAATCCTGATCTACAGTCAACTGGCAGAGAACATCCCAAGGTTAGAGCCCAAGGGTGGTCCCTGCCAGCCGATGATAAACTGATCAGGCACTGGAGTTTGAGTTCCACAGCTGTTGCAATCCCCTGTGAGCTGAAAGGGACTGCCCTGGGATTCAAGCCCCAGAGCTGTCCCTGCCAGTCAACAACTGGCTGACAGGGATGGCCCCGGGGTTTGAGCCCCAGGTCCTGAGTGCTGGGGCAGCTGTGATCTGACATTAGCTGGCAGAAACTTCCCTGAGATTTGAGCCTTGACTTGGTCTCTGCCAGCAAAGAATCTGCTGACAGCTCCAGACTTCAAGCTCCAGGGCCACTCCCGTTTACTGCTGGTCAGCAGGGATGGCTCCAGGGCTCAAGTCCCAGGGTCATCCCTCCTAGCTGACATTCAGCTGATTGGGAACCACTCTGGGGCTCAAGCCTTGGGTGAGTTATGGTGCCATACAAATCAACCACAAAGATACTATATATTTTTGAGTAATATCTTTGTGGCTGGTTTGTGATTTCTCTGGTGCCATAAATTCTATGAATGCGTGGCCAGTTGCTATTTCTGGCATGATTAAAACTTTATTTGCACCAGAAACATAACATGTGTCAGATTTTGAATACTGGAGTTTTGGAGGTGAAGAAAGGAGGCCTAAGATCCTTTTCTGCCTCTCTTAATTTTGGGGGAAATGGGCTAAATTGGTCCCTATTACAAGTTAGTGTTTCCAAAGGTCAGTCTGTCCAACACTCCCTCCTTGCAACTATACTGACACTGGAGAAAGGGTATGGATGGCATAGAGCCAACAGTACTAATGATGCTGTTCTTTATGTTTTATTAGTGCCTTTTCTCATGCCCCATCCTGGTTTTTGCCAAGCCAACCCACTCTGAATTTAAGCTGCATGCAAAAGAAAATAAACATTTGAAGGGAAAACCCTCCTTAAAGCCATTGCTTCCTAAGTTCTGGCTGTCACCTCAATGCATACACTCTAGTACACGAGCTGGGCCTAAAGATTTAAGCCAATATTTTCAAAACTGTTAAGTATGAGTCATTGATTTTCAAGTTTCCAGCTGTGGCCCATTTAAAACAGTATAGGACATCTGCCCTCTAAATATCAGTTATCTTTAAGGTGGCTCATGTGGGTACCCAAATGCTGAACGTTCAAAATCGCCGGTCAGTTTGTGAAATTAGACAGTAGTTCTTAAAATCCTTCTAAGAATAAAAGGTAACAAACATGAAAGATAGATCCTCTGTAAAATGAATGGTCAGATAGTGTTTATTTCAAGGGATGATCTTTTTGGCTGTGGTATATTTTAAATGCACAAAGATGAAACTTATACCATCTTTTTATAGAGCTTAGCATTAAAGGACACAAAACACACTATTGGGTTATGTTCATTATTGTTTCTTCTCTTAATTTGCTCCTTTTTTATAAAGCAGCCAGCAATAGCAAAAGCTGCTATTGTACAACAGAAAAGATTTCCAGACTACTGTGGGAGTAGTTTTATGAGCATTAACTTTATTTTGAGCATTATCTTTACTTTGTGAGCTACAATGATCCCATTTCTGAATGTTGCAGATGGTTTAAAAGAGGATGCAAAAATTTCAAGTGTGGACCATTATGAAAAATACAGCTGGTAAAGAAGTGTTTTCCATAATTGCTGTCAAGTTAATGAGCTAGTTTATGAGCTCAGACACAAGGGTTAAGTGCAGACAGACAAAAAGCCCGAGGCTGAATTGATTCAATCTTCGCAGGTTAATCTAAGCTGCATAGATTGAACCGATAAGCAAGCAAACAGACATTTACTTGTGATTGCAGAAAGACAGCCACATGCCTGCAGTCACCCAGGCCAAAAGCCAGGGGGCACTAGAGCATGCTTCCCTGCTGGGCTGGACCAGACAGCTTGGGCCAACGCTAGCCTGCCCACCCTGCAAGTGGGGGGTAAAAGTTGTGGGGGAGGTACAAAGCTAAAGAATTGTGAGTTAACCTGAATCGGGGGGGGGGAGGGTGGAATCTGGGACAGAAGTTCAATAAACCAGTTTAACCTAACTCTGATACTATATCCCATCCACGTTTATCTTAAACCAGTTTTAGTCATTTTGAAAGTGGGTTATGTGCACTTGTCTTGTGTTGTGTTATAGATTTGAACTGGTTTCCAATCATTATACCAGTTTACGTGTAATTTCTGTCCCTAGCCATAAGAGCTTCTATCACTTATAAAAACGCTTTATCCTAGCTGTTGTGTATACTGTTGTTTTTATTATCCCTTAATTATTTCCTTCTTTTTGAATCATAAAACCATCAGATTCAATGCCTGGTGGCAGTGGGTCCCACATGTCACTTCTCAGTGGTTTATAAATTTACTCTCTTTTAACATTTTCAGCCTTTCTTGTATCATGAGAAACAAACATCAGAAACACAGAATTTTAAACATAGGGTTTGGGATCTATTTATCCTTTGTGGTGTACAATTAGTATTATTATTTTCCCATGCCGTCCCACTCTGACAAATATTGAAGTATGATCCTGGTAACAAAAGAACTGCAACATCATGAGAAGACTTGGTGCAAATGGAATCTGAATATACACATAATCTAGTATTCAAAAGATTTGCAAGCTGTATAGACAAAAACATAAAAATTCACAGATTTCATTCTCAAATGGTGTTCCTAGTGGGGGGACTGTGTTCTGTAGGAAGGAGAATATAAATGAGGTTGTTTCTCTCTTGTTTTTAAGCAGCAATAGTATTCTTTCTACATCATATAAAACAAACCAGAATAATCTGGAAAAGAGTATTTTCTGCCACCACTTAAGTTTTTTTTTAAGTATTTTTGTAAACTAAAAGCCATTTTAGGACCCATATCCAATGAAGAAAATGCTGGATAAAACTATAAGTGCTATATAATTCAATATTTTTGTTGGAGTTTAACATATTATTAGCAGCATTTTAATTATAATTGCTGTATATGAATATACCAGAGAAATTAGATACTTTATAGTAGTATTAAGGTTCTTGAAGTTAAATCATGCCAATGCAGATGTTCCTAATTACCTTAAAAGCACAAATACTTAAATAAACCAGTTGGTTCCAGCTCCAGAATAATTTAATTAAAGGAATGCTTATAATTTAGCTGCATGGATGATAGCAAAAGCTAGCTAGTTTGTGAAACTGTAAAGAAATAACAATACAGACAGTCTGAGTCAGACAAGAAACTAGCGCTTATTTTGGCCAGCCAAGAGACTGCCATGTAATTTGCCTGAGACAGGTATAAAGAGTTACCTAAAGAAGTTAATACTGTGATGTGAAATAAGACTACATTTTTCAAGAAAAGCATTAATTAGTTTTCACTTTCCATCTGTGACAACACCTGGACAAATCCAGACTAAAGTTTCTTACCTACAACCAGCCAAAAGAGAATTAAGCTCCACCCTTACTTTATGTTAATGATACAGAGATGTAATAGAAAACATGATATAGTATGTCTCATTAGAACAATATGCAAACTTAAATACACAAGATGTCAATGCACACAAGAATCCCATCAACCAATAATGGTTTTGGTAGTAAGCCTCATACAAAATTCTCTGTAACTGCTAATGCATTGTATAACTCTAGTATTCATTGATTGTAAGGTCAGTGCACCAGTTCATCCTCTGAATGCTCTGTAGGAAAGATAAACTCCTGTTCACAAATGTTGATCAGAAATATATATATATATATATATATATATATATATATATATATATCC